ATGTTTCTACACACAGTCAAAGTATTGCCACTATGTATATTACGTGTCCCTCAAAATTATAAAACTTTGAAGCTTCTATTTTTTTCTATTCAGAAAGCAAAGGTAGTTAAGATATTTGAATTAGACATTATGTATATGTGTGTATAGGAAAGAGAGAAAAGTATTTACGAAAAAGTTAAAGTTATTACAATTAAACATTTTATGAAAACGTTTAAGAGAAACGCACGAGTTGCGAGTACCCGAGATTTTGAGGTCTCAATAACGAGTGAACGAATCAAGTTCTAAGTATAGGCTTGATCGATAGGTTGGGGTTGATTTATATATCCGTAAGACTAAACTTGATGTAATGTAACGTACAGAATGGTACAATCGGCGTCAATAATGTCTTCCACCTGAAGATAGCTGCGTTCTGGGATTTCTATAGTGCACGTTAGTGCTGGTCTACAACCTTGCTTTAAAGAGTATTTAAACTCTAAGCCGTAAAAAATTGACCAATTACAGTGGAATATGAGGAAAATACTAGACTGTGATTGGTCAATTTCTTACGGCTTAGAGCTTAAATACCCTTTAAAGCAAGGTTGTAGATCAGTACTTATATGCACTAGAGACCCTCTAACAGAGTCTGGCCATTAGGACAGCCAGTTTTGATTGGTCCGTCAGTTTTTGTCAACTCCCGCTCATATTTGAATCACTCTAACCTTACCATTAAGATAAACATTATATTTCAGCAATATAAATGAGAAATAAACGTTGTAGAAGAACTAAATATTATATTCTTTTTATTTATACTAGACACTACAGACGCGCGCTTCGCGCGCGCTATTTAGCTTTAACATTATGCTATTATATAATAATCGCGACACGACGCGGGACGATTAACCTCGCGACACGACGCGAGCTGTCACATCATGACACACACGACGCACTACACGCACGAAACTCGCCACACTCCGCGATGACAGTCCCTCACGGGATGAAGCAAGCTACGGCGCGGCAATCAATCGAGATAGCCAATCGGCATCGCGGAAAAGAGGCTTCAATTTTACGATACAAATGAAATTCACTCAGGTAACACGCCTTTTTTAAAAGTGGAATATTAAAGTAAATAATACATAAATTATATTATCCAATAATATAATAACTAAAAAATTCTTTGTATTTAATGTTTGCTCGGTTGTACATAAAGAATAGTAAAATGAAAAAGAAAATAAATACGCAAAACATTTCTTATATTAAGTATACCTTTGATATAACACATTCTTTGGTTATGGTAAAATATTATATCGTAATTCTTTGGTATTATATCACATTAGAATATAACGGAAATCAAATATTGCAAAAATCAAATATTTTGAAAATCAAATATTACGAAGTTAAAGCATGCATTGCCATTGATTTGCTATCATATCGATTGCGTACAGTAGTTTTTTTATTATAAATTTTTAGTCTGAACGCTGCAAATCTTTTTATGATTTCTAAATATAATTATGACAATTTAAGATATGATCAGCATTGACTTTTGCAAATTGTTCACTTAGAAATAATGTCCAATTAATGTTTTGAACGTTATTAAAAAACTTAGAATAGTAACAAAACATTTGTTCAAATTTTACAAATACTTTAAATGTTTCAATATTAACAAAACATAGAGAATGTGTTCTATAACATTTTAGTTGAACAAACTTTGTAAACGAAAAACGCAATGGAATTGGCGATCTTACTGATTGTATACATTTATTGCATGTTGTACATATTTTGGTAATAGATTTTATAATGTAACCAGCTATGTTGTACAAAGAATTTAATTCTAGATGTGACATTTGTGGTACGACATTATTATTGAAGGGAGGAATTTCAATAGTCTCTTGTACTTTACATATATCAATGTCATTTTTTTTCTCTTTTTCTTTTGATAAATAATCAAGAAATCCTGATAGATACTGCCGGTCGTCATTATCATAATTAGAACTTCTTACGTCTTTCATATACATTGCGATAGCAATTAATTTTAAATTATGTGTGAATTGAAGAGCGAATGAGTTATAACATTTTTTACTCTAATTAAAGAAAAAAGATTTTTAACACAATCTTGTGTAAATCTTGAAGTTAAAACATACTGAAAGTCTCTTGTAGTAATTAAATATTCAGTTAAGTCAATGACGGATTTTGTACTTATCATTATACCCCTTTGCACGGGTTTAAACCCACCATTACCTAATTTCAAATCAGTGAAAATATTAATAACTTTGCGTAAGAAATCAACATTTTCTTTATATTTGTCAATATCTTTTTTGCCCAGTGCTATTTTATAATCTCGACGTCATAAAAGAAAACCACTTACAAACAAGTTTTATAAACCACGCAGTGATGATAAACTCCGGTTTGTTATTTTCATCTGCTACTAATTCAAATGTACAACCTACGTCATAATCAAACATCTTTTTGGCTTTAGTCATCTTCATTTTCATATAATTGTTGCATTTTAGATCGTCCATGTTAAAGTTGGGTGTTAACAGCAGTCCAGAATTTTCTTGAATATTTATTAGCTCTTTAAAATGCTCTAACTCGATCTTATTTGAAGGTAAATTATATTTACAGATTATATCGTCAGAAATGGTTAGTATTCCATTATTCAGTAACGCTTGTTTTAAATATTTTCATATGTGAGGTGGATCGGCAATAATATATAAATTGTGGAATCAAATGGATGGATGATGTAGTTTTTTATTTTACTAAATCTATTAGCGCTAATACCCAACAATTTCCATAAGCCGGTATTCCCGGAACCCATGTCCGATGTAATAAAATTGACATGGAAACCAAGTTCCTCTGTCTTATTAATAATCTGAAAAATAATTTCTTTCAAAGTATTACTGTTGAAACTATTTCCTGTAAAATCTTGTGCCACTACATGCTTCCATCGACCACAAATTCCAACTAGCAAGAAAACGAGAGCATGTGTAGCTATACCTTTCTCACCAGGAAATGTTATATCTTCTACCAATGATCCTGTTGCAGGATTATAACATTTCCTTGGTGTTATTCCCATTTCATCAAATATTAATCCACATTCGAGATCTCTTCTCTTTAAAAAAGGATTTTCTATATTTTAGGAATTCAAACATTTGATTTGATATTCCAGGTTCAAATTGAACATCTACCAATTTTTGCCGTAATGTTTTTAAACTAGGAAGTGGTATGTTTCGAAGTACTTCCTCGTAACCAGCAGTTCCGCAAGCAAATTTTATTTTCAAAGCACGTTGAATTGTCTTGTTCGACCAATTTCGAGTGCGATTTTTCTTTAACATCGCTTTTATTTGGTTTTCATTAAACATTGCACTTACAGCTTTCTTATATTTATCATTATTAATCTTACTTTTTAGTGTGCTATTTATAAATCGCAGAGCTTTCAGTTTCTTCCTCATAATGATAAGTTGTAGCTGCTGTTTCTTCACCACTTTTTTAAACTTGTCATTTTCTTCTTTTAGGGTTTCATTAGATTCAGTTATAGATGATATATTTGCTGATAATGTTATAGGCTCCGAGGTGTCATTTATAATAATCTGGAAAGATTGTACACAATAAATTGTTATAACACTTTCGTTACAGTTATAACACTTTCTTATAATAGACTTACTGTTTCAGTATTAACTTCTGTATTCTTATCGTCATTAGTTGCTTCTTCATTTGTACATTCGTTGCTTGGTATAATACTGGTTATTTCATTAATGTTATTCTCACTGCCATCATTTTCTACGTCTTTCGTCAATACTTGCTTTAAAAAAAAAAAAAAAAAAAAAATTGTCGGTATCGCATCACGTTTTAATTTATGTTTACGATTAGCTTCCCACATTTCTGAGGCAAAGTGAACCTATAACAATAGTTTAAATATACAATTCAGTCATAATTTTAAGGAAAGCATAGAAATTTTAGAGTTTATATTTTACATTAATTTTAATTAACATTATAATTTTTATTTTATTATAATAATTTAATACATTAATACTAACCTCACAAAGAAAAGAATTGTTTGTTGGTACCCAATTTTTACGCGGAACATTCTGTGCCCATAAAGCCCGGCGTACGGAATGTCTAGGAAATATCTTCATGATATAACCTTTTGCTGTCGAGTTGTTGCAAAACGGTGCTACACATCCACCCATTTTTATAATTTTTTACGCGTGGACTGTCCGTGGACTATGATGAGCGTGCGTGAACCCGTCAAAAGAGGTTAGGTAAAAGAGAAAGATGGCGAATGTATATCCCTCTCTCTCACACGATTTTGACAAAAATCGCTTATGGCCAGACTCTGTTAGAGGGTCTCTAATATGCACTATAGAACGCAGCTAACTTCAGGTGGAAGGCATTATTGACGCCTATTGTACATATGTATGGAACATTCCATCTGGCTCTGACCTTCGATCTCTTAGATTTGGTCTGTGATTTTTTATGTTGATTCAACTCTAAAATGGACTAAGATTTTTTTTAGATTTTTTTAAGTAAATTTGAATTACTTATAATTTTTGAAACCAACATATCGTTGGTCACAATATAAAAATTTGAAAAAGTTATAAAAAATCCTGTATTAGATATCAAAATTTTTAAGCCTTGACTCAGAGTGGGCCGGCGTTTGCTTTTATTTTTTTCGAGCTTTTCTCGAACTTTTTTTCGAAAAAAGAAACAGAATTTTTCAGATTTTTCCAACGCGATTTTTTTTTTTTTTTTAGAAAATCGCTTCAAAAAAATTTGAAAAAATTCTCAAAAATTTTGTGTTATTTATAAAAATATTCAAGCAACAGCCTACAGTGGACTGACTTGTGCTCCTAATTTTTTCAATGTTTTTTTCAAAAAAAGTTTGAAAAAAACTCGGAAAAAATAGAAACAAACGCCGGCCCACTCTGGGTCAAGGCTTAAAAGTTGAGAATTTTTTCAGATTTTTAAATTGTGGCCAATGATATTTATATGTTGGTTTAAAAAATTATAAATAAATCTAAAGAAAATAAACAAATCTGTGCATTTTAGAGTTGGAACAAAAAATCGTGGACCAAATCCGGAAGGTCGAGGGTCAAACCCAGATCGATTTGGCATGGAATGCCCCATATACAGGGTGAGTAATTTTAATCGAAACGCAGGCAAATATCTCGAAAAATATGGAAGATACGGAAAAACGTTTCGGACAAAAGTTGTACTGTTTCAAAGGGGACATAAGATGATGGCAATGATTTGACCTTGGATGGTTGTTTGAAGGTTACGTGAACGTCACCTTCAATTTCTTAAATGAAATCTCATTATAGTATATCGTTTAAAAGGGCATCAAAATAGAAAATTTTGGCGCAAACCAGAGGTCGATTCCAGAGTCCTAGAGAGAGGCGACATTGAAGGAAATGGTCTGATTGGCTAACTAAATCACGTCAGTACCATATTGTTTCCTAGTGTTTCCTATTATGGTAAAATCAATAAGATTAGTTTATAAATTATAAATGTGCAGATAGACTGTCTGTTTCTTGAAACACATTAGAAATAGAGACAATTAAGCTCCGCTATAATTTCAATATATGGCCAAAAACGCTCAAAATATGTATAAAAGATGTGACTTTATATGTCATCTTGCTCTGACATGTTTCGACGTCTTCTACTCAAATTCTACTAGGCCTATCTGAACTTCTTGCACAGTTCATCTTTTCTCTTTTTTCTTTTCTCTCCAACGTGAAGTTGTCAGATGTGGAGAAACATGGCGACTTTTCGATATATTGTACGATATCACAATGGTTTACGTCACGTATACTATAGATTTTCAATACTGGCAGTGAATTAAGTGAATATCGAAACTCAGCTTATCTAGGACTCTAGTTGATCTGTTCGGGAGTTATATAGGGTAAAAAATTGGTTTTTTTTGAACTTTTACTTTAAATAACTCCCGGGTTAACGTATTGACCTCTGGTTTGCGCCAAAAATTTTCCCTTTTTATGCTCTTTCAAACGATATACTATAATTTGAGGGGTTCTATTTAAGAAATTGAAGGTGACATTTACTTGACCTTCAAACGACCATCCAAGGTCAAATCATTGCTATCATCTTATGTCCCCCTTGAAACAGTGCAACTTTTATCTGAAACGTTTTTCCGTATCTTCCATATTTTTCGAGATATTTGCCTGAAGCATTTAAAATGGGACACATACTCTGTATGCCCTATTGTTCCGCAAATGTCGGATTTCTGACTCTATTTTGAGACGATTTTCTTTTGTAGCAAAATTTTCGCCGAAGCTTAGTTTTCGAGTTATAAAGGAAATAGTTACCTTATTACGGGCTGATACGGGTACAGGAGGTAGACAGGGGTGGTGCGACTTACCGTCGCGGGCGCGATTCACCGCAATTCACCGTCCGCTGGATGTAATCCGTTAACGTGCAATTCACTTGTAGAGATAATGGCATGGTATATCGATAATTTTTTGTCACGTCGATGCGAAGATGATCGGCTCGCGGAGGCGAGGAATGAGGCACCTGTTGCTATCAGCTGTCGCGCCACCCCTGCCTACCTTCTGTACTTGAATGCGATAATAAGGTAACTATTTCCTTTTATAACTCGAAAACTAAGCTTCGGCGAAAGTTTTGCTACAGGAATAATCGTCTCAGAATTGAGTCAGAAATCTGACATTTGCGGGACAAGGTGTTGTTTTAAATCACCCTGTATGTTTGAGGGTGAATGTGTTAAACATTAATAACTTTTGTTTCTATGAAGCACATAACAATATCTATTTTTTTAGCTGCTGCACTACCATTGGTATTAGTGGCATTATGTTCACATTCTGCGTTCTCAGAAGTCACACAATCAACAAATTCTTATTTGTCTACGGCTGATAGAGTGCGTTTGAAAAGCATCCTCAAATCAGGATTTCAATTAGACGATGTACCATCAGTATACTACGCTGTCAGTGGATACAAACTCCTCGGAGAAGCTATATCAAAAGCAGATGTAATTTTCTTTTTTCATCTCATGCATAACTATTATTTTTAATGATTAAAGGCATATACGAATTATATTGTGATGAAAAGAATTATATTGAAATCCATGATTTTTTGATTAGTCTTTCTGATTTAGAATTTTCTTCATTATAACAGATAATATCTCGAATTTTTATATTAATAGCATTTATACTTGTTTAGACTATCTGCAAATACTTGATAAAATCCAATGGAGAAAACATCACACCTGAAACGGCATTTTATCTTGCCTCCACATGGAAAGCTATTGGAGGCTGCCAAGAGTTTTCTACAAGTACCGTGACAAAGGTGATGTTTGTTGGCATTAGTAATCACAAAATTATATGATGTCTGTAATAACTTTTGTTCTACTGTATGAAGAATAGAGACAGTGATTATTCCGAAATAAACTATAAATATTATAGATAGTGTTTGTACACACAACACAATATATAAGCAATATTTTATTTATATAGATATTGACAAATGTTATACAAAAGGACACTTCTACGATTTCTGATCTATATTATGCAGTGAGTGGTTTAGCAGCTTTGTCACAAGAGGTACCTTCAACCAGAATCGACAAGTTGGTGAAATTAATTCAAGCAGCTTTAAGGAAAGATGACAGTTTATGGAAGTGAGTTATCGTATGTTATGTATAAAATGATACATATTAGCAATTAAAAATTACATGGTAATTGTAATGATGCCTATGAAACTTTCGTTCTTCTAGATATGAAATATGAAGACAATAATTATTACTGAATCTTATCTTAAAATTATAGATTGCTATTATTTTTATTATGGACAATATAAGGGTTAATTCAATTTTGTGTTATTAGTTTGGGATACGTATTTCACATTGCTGCAGACATAGGCACACCAGCTGCATTTGCTTTTGATCGCATCGAAGATGCTGTGGTACAAGCAGATGAAGTGGATGGCCAGTATCTGCAGTTTGAAGGCGGTCTTTCTATAACAAGTATACATTTAGTTCTTATTACATATATAATTCTAAATTAATTGATTCTATATTTTAATTAACTTTAAAATAAATTTGTATAGGTTTCCTTGTTAATGGTATTCTTAAATTATCAATTTCGTTGAAGAAAAAGCCGCCGTTGAATTTCCAACAGATTATCAAATTGGGTAATTATCTTCTCTCGCGGCGTTCCGTGCAAACGACAAAAGGTGTTACAAATTTGTTGTCTGCTTTAACTGCCTTGGTGGTCGATAGTCCCGAAAAGCCTGTTTGCATAACTCTAGCCGATGGAGGAATCATTATATCTAATAACCAACCGTTAGTTACGGTTAAAGTTTGCGATATTCTTGGTCAAGCATTGCCAACTGTACCCACAGTCATTGCAAATTCAGCCACACGAGTAGGGGACGATGTCGTTATTCTTAGCAACGAGAATTTGCAGCCATCTACAACGGACAAGTGAGTGGTGTCTATTAAATATCCCCAATACTTTACTGGATCAGCTTTATTATGCTGATATCAGTTATACCTTGGGGTACAGCAGTAATTGTTGAATAATCCCTTTAACCTTTTTTTTTTTAATGTAATTAAGGTTAAGAAATTCAACGCACAATACTTTCGCTAATTTTGTTATATGTGTTACTCAAAACTTGATGTGACTAATCAATATTAGTTCTATCCATAGACATAGTATATCTAGACCGATCACCGAGCGTTTGTCTTTATTTGAAGATTAGGAGTATAGGTACACGTAGAAAGAGAGGCACTCTGTTTAGAGACCGTACGTTCTCTCACTCGCGTGGGCGTTCTCTCTCGTTCGTACGCGTATGAGAGAGCGAACGGTCTCAGGACAAATCTACGTGCACCTATACCCGACTCCTCAACACTCATTGTCAGTGTAGATATACTATGTCTATGGTTCTAACAAAGTCTTTTGTCAATACTACTTAAATCTTATTAACTACTTGTAAATCTATAATTAATATATAGAATTTCTGTTGATCATCACACCTAGAATTTAATCTTGTAAATTCTTGTAGATTTAACTAATTAAAATGACTAATAAAGGGATTTTGTTAGAACCAATCTTAATCAGTTAAATAAGGTTTTGATGGATTTCAAGTTTTATTAAAACATATATTTTTTTCAATGTGAAATAATATACTGCATTTGTACACAGAACTCTATTTACGGTGAACCTTATGAATGTGAAACCTGATCGTGGTTTTTACAAGATATTAGTGACCGCGGCTTCCGTCACGAATACAATTACAGTGAAGGTCTTATCTGAAGCAATATTGGACTACTTAGAGATCGGCACTGGCGATGCCGATCAGACCACTCAACCAAAACTTACGAGGTACTTATATATCTCATGATGCTCATTCGTGATATTTTATATACTAAATTTTACTTTTTTTAACAAGATAGTCTACATTTATTATATTTCTTGCAATAATTTTATTTTTCCAGAATAAACACGGAATCTTCTTCGGGTAAACTCGAACATAAAATAGAAGCTGATTCTCAACAAAAGCTAGTCATGCGATTTTTGTTGCGTGATTCTGCCAATAAGAAACTAATGCGCGTGCATCAAGCCTTTGTACGCCTTATATCCGTTTCCACATCCACCGATAAGAAGCGAGGCCATGAAATCTTTTTCGTCGCCGAGCCTGATGCCGCTCACGTTTACAAATTCGACATGGTAATTTTACGCTATACATTTTGATTCTTAAATACATATAGGGGGAGTCCGGGAGACTTGACCATAGAGGAGAGTTGAACCACTTCAAATATCTCGTTCAAATTTTGAACAAAGAGCTCAATCCGAGCACGTGACAATATGACGCTTGGTAGTGCGTTTTAACTGTGATTGAGACAAACGTGTTTTAACGTGCTCGGATTGAGCTCTTTGTTCAAAATTTGAACGAGATATTTGAAGTGGTTCAACTCTCCTCTATGGTCAAGTCTCCCGGACTCCCCCTATCTTTTTATGCAAAAGCTAAATTTCTGTATAATGAAAGTACATTCTTCCAACGTGTTAAAATCTTGCAAATATTTTAGCCGGTTGGAACAGCAGCTGCAAATTTTGGTCATCAGAGTGGAGAATATAACATGGAGTTGATCGTTGGTGACGCTGTGATCAGCAATCCGTTCCGATTCAACATTGGCACGGTAACTCTGAAATTTCCCGAGCCGACTTCAATGGAAGGTGCCGATAAGAGCGTCTCTTACAAGCAAAAACCGAATGTGTATACAACCAAACCGGAAATAAAGGTAATTCTTTTCTCAAGGTAATTCTTTTCTCAACTTATGTACATGATACATGCCAATGCTCGTTAGTGGCAAAAAGTCTCCAATAATTGTTCACTTCCAAAACATTGGCAAAGAATTACGTCAAAGTTAGTATAATATATTCGCAAAAGTAGCATTTATGTGCAATAATTTTTATACTTTGACGAACATTGACTTTTGTCTTAAAAATTGCAGCTATCACTGAAGTGGTTATCTGAAGATTTACTCTTGTTATTTCTCAAATTTCAGCACATGTTCCGCGAGCCTGAACGCAGACCTCCAGCATTCGTGTCAAACTTATTCACAGGATTATGTGTGGCACCAGTTTTGCTGTTGTTGATTTTATGGGCTCGTCTTGGCGTTAATATCTCGAACTTTCCCTTGTCCCTCAGCGCGATTACATTCCACCTTGGATTAGGAGGTAAATATCAACTTGCTAATAGAGTATACTTAATATTAGAATAGACTGCAGGTTTTTACGCAAATGTATATTTTTAGAAAAGCAGGAAAATGAGATTAAAATTAAAATTTGTTTTATCAAACTAGCATTCTGATACACATATCTTATTAATTTATGCACAAAAATATTATTTATTGAAAAGTGAATATTTTACGAGCTATTTCATATTTTATGTAAAAATGTATCGGAATATATGTATAGTTCGTAAATTATATTTTTACATAATATTATTTTTATTCTTCTATATACACAATTTCGAGAGAAACCGATTTAAGAAATGTAAGAAAATTTACATGGCTTTGTTTTAAAAAATGTAAATAATCTTAATATGATCTTAACAAGTCAAAAAACTTTTCTTTTGCAATTTATTACACTAGACACCATCTCCTTTTTAGATATGGATGGATGAAGGATTTTTTTATATCCTATCGTTAGTAATTATTTCAAATGGCATTTACCGAGAAACGTGTGTGTATATAAATACATAAATATATTATGTTACGGGAAATATGATAAATTGGGAATTATGCTTAAGGCTCCTGGTCCCTGAGCCGAGAACTCTGCGTTGACGGTGGCGCCGTACCGTCGCGGCAGAAATAAGAACTCTTTTCTCTCACTCTCTCCAATGGAGAATTCTGTCTTGCGACATGTTGACAACCTATTTTGCGTTGCGTTAAATTTCTTTATTATTCGCTCTGTACTTGTGCTATAATGTTTAACGTATTCGTGAAACTCGTAAAATTGACCGTATGGTAAGATTTGCAAGAAATACATATGCGAAAGGAACATTCTCCACTCCTTTCGATAGTCGAAAACGGCTTGTTTTTCCGTATGTTTAGGCTTCGTTTTATGGCTGTTTGTTTATTGTCGAGGGAAAAGGATAGTATCCGGTCAATTTTAGAAGTGTGCTGAAACGATCTATAGTGATTTTTTATTGAAATGTCTTTTTATTTCGGAAAATACCGCAACATAAAATAGGGTAATTTCTCGCCTCGATAGCAAGAAATTCAATATGACTGCGGTGACTACCCAGGAGCCATAATGGCCGGGCAATATACATAATTCCCAATTTGTTCGGAAAAATGATTAAGGGGACTAGGGAGGGTTAAAAATGCAGAAATTGGCTCGTGTTTAATTGTTTATAACAAGACCGCGAATGAACATAAAACTTTTTTATTGTTAAGGGTATTAATTATAACATTATAAAATGAGAAAATTAATTGAAAGTCATTCCCAGATCAATAATAACGGCGTCCCAATATAATAAAGAAAACTGTCGAATCTACGGTTTTACCACGATTCCAGTCGAACGGATAAAGGTTTTGGCAAATTTCAGGAATATTTCTTCTCCTTAGGCTTCCCTCTATTGATTATACCTAAAAAATTAAAAATAGAAATAAAATTAACAAAATGGCGTCCAGAAAACAAAAAATTTGGGAAAAAATTTTGTTTTCTGGACGCCATTTTGTTAATTTTAATTTTATTTTTAATTTTTTAGGTATAATCAATAGAGGGAAGCCTAAGGAGAAGAAATATTCCTGAAATTTGCCAAAATCTTTATCCGTTCGACCGGAATCGTGGTAAAACCGTCGATTCGACAGTTTTCTTTATTATATTGGGACGCCGTTATTATTGATCTGGGAATGGCTCTTAATGAATTTTCTCATTTTATAATGTTATAATTAATATCCTCAACAATAAAAAAATTTTATGTTTATTCGTGGCCTTGTTATAAACAATTAAACACGAGCCAATTTCTGCATTTTCAACCTTCCCTAGTCCCCTTAATAGAGAAGAATTAATCAAATTTGCCGGTCATTATGCATATTTCCCAATGCTAAATGGTCATTTTGATAAATTACCTTATTTGAGTTGATTTTCCCGACAATCTTAAGCCCCTTGCACAATAGGCGATAGCGAGGTGCTACATATGGGTTTACAACTTTCCACGCGTGGAAAGCCCACGCATGTACTTTGAAGGCACACTATGTGTCTAGTTTGATAATAGTGGAGCCCCCCGTAGGGGGGCGGAACCTACTGTTTCCACGCATACACTTTCCACGCGAAACGAGGTGCCACATGGGTTTACAACTTTCCACGCGTGGAAAGTCCACGCATGTACTTTGAAGGCACACTATATGTTCTAGTTTAATAATAGTGGAGCCCCCCGCAGGGTGGCGGAACCTACTGCCTCCACGCATACACTTTCCACGCGAAACGAGATGCCACATGGGTTTACAACTTTCCACGCGTGGAAAGTCCACGCATGCGGGGGGCTCCACTATTATTAAACTAGACACATAGTGTGCCTTCAACATGCGTGGGCTTTTCACGCGTGGAAAGTTGTAAACCCATGTAGCACCTCGCATCGCTATCGCCTATTGTGCAAGGGGCTTAAGATTGCTGGGAAAATCAACTCAAATAAGGTGATTTATCAAAATGACCATTTAGCATTGGGAAATATGCATAATGACTGGGAAATTTGATTAATTTGAACATTTTTGCTTTTATTATTCAAATGTCCCAAAAAAAGCGGGAATTATGCATATTGCCCGGCCATTATACATAATTCCCGAATTAATCAAATTTCCCGTAACATATATATCTCATATACATGAGACATATATATATGTATATATATATATATTTTTTTTATTAATAAATATAGGGTGTTTTCTAAGTAAGTAAAAAAAATTGAAGAGGATATTCCGTGGTTTATTTTAGGAAGAAAAGGTCCTATAAACATATGCCCTAAACTGCTTCGTTTTCAAAATACAAGGTGTCAAAATTGTGAAAAAGATGTTCGAAAATGTGGAAAAAGTTTAAAGATACTTTATTCAAATTCGGTATGTATAGGGACGACCGGGGCTATCTGTCTACACTTTACGCTCTTTTCAAGTTTACTAAAAAACCTATAAAAATATTTGGCTAAACATTTTAATGGTGTAACCTTTCAACTTTAATTTTAAAGAGATAAATTTTTTAAGTAGGCAAGTCAAGCGCAGACAGCCCCATATGCGGGTTATAATCCTGAAAACCAGGGCCCGTTTTAACCGTTGATACGCCGATGGTCCTTATAAAAACATGGCGGAAAATCGGAAACCAATAGAAAGGTGCCGACAGAGAGTGAACATACTGGTTATACTATGGTCAAATATCTCGAAAAATATGGAAGATATAGAAAAGCGTTTTAAACAAAAGTTATAGGGTTCAAAAAGATCTATATTTACTGATTTTATCAGTTTGACTAGAGGTAGCGTTGTTAAGGTCAAGTCAGGGTCACTTTAAATTTTTTAAATTGGACTTTCTATATTCTTGTAGCCCTTGTCGAGACGTTTTCAAAACACTATAATAAAGTTCTCTTTTGTTAAGAATTTCCTGAGATATTTTGCATTTGAAAGCATTTATGCTTTTTAATACTTAAAATAACTGCTATATTTTTCAAGCTTTTTTTGTTAATAATTTTTTGTTAATAAATTTTTAATAAAGAGCAAGCGATGGCTAAAATCTTCTGAAGATTACGCTACTTCAGGAGAACAACCTCTATAATATACATATGTGAAGGAAAACTGATGCGTGGCTCTAGGGCTTCGCGAGTGATTAGAAACTCAAAGGTCCGTGGTTCGATTCCGGCCCGGCCTTCATTCCACATATACCACGTGTAAGAGGGGGAATGCCTATTTTAATAGGTAGAAGCTAAGGATTAAAGATCCATATGGATTAATAATCCGTTTAAGAGTTTAAAAGAATTATTGCATAGTGAAAGATGGTCGAAGGGAAAAGAGATTGATTGAAATTGTATATATTGGACTTAGAGTTTGTGTCAAATTACCATTGAGTAAGACATCTTAATCTCCCTCAGGACCGAGGGAATCTGAAAAAACCCTGTGAAGGAAAAGGTCATTGAGGGGAGGCTTGTAAGGCTAAACATTTACCGAATAAAATATCTAAACGTTTTCCAGATTTTCGAAATTTCTATATTTTTTTTACAACTTTGACACTCTGTATTTTGAAAATGGAGCAGTTTAGGGTATATGTTTGTAGGATTTTTTTTTTTAAATAAGCCGCGGAACATCCCCTTTAATTTTTTGTACTTATTTAGGAAACAGCTTGTATAATTTAAAAATATGCGATATAAAAAATACACAATTATGCCCGATATTGCTTGACAGATGACGTTATATAGTCTATCTGTTTTCATCGGGCGCATAGTATGTCGTGATATTTTTCACAAATGTGAACACGTTTTTGTGTCACATTTGTAGCCCAAATTCACTACAGAAATTAATTATATCCACTACATTGACATGTTGCTGTATAAATAACTATCTTATTTTTTTAGGCATCTTTGTGCTGTTCGGTATTTTCTGGTTGAGGCTAAATATGTTCGTTACTCTGCGATATCTTCTTGGTTTTGGTGTTGTTACATTCCTCGCTGGTAACAAAATGCTGTCTCAGATAGCACAAAAGCACAAATCTACGCTACGTTAATTTATACACTCTATCGTGCAAAAATTCTGAATCGAGTTGCAGTTGCAGTTCAAAGTGCATAATAAGAACAAGACTCATCAATAAGGTTCAAAGTGACTGATCAACTCGTTAACGTGACAGAAACATTGTGTCGTACTATTTTCTTTTGTCACAAATGTATATAAATCACGAAACATGTATTCCGTTTACTTTATTATATGCATATCTTTGCTACAACCTGAATTGTTTAATAATTAATAATTGACATAGGAATATCTGGACGGAGAACAAGGAACTTTCTTAGACTTCTCGCTGAAGCTTGATTAGACTCGTAACACATGCACGAACGCATACGCACACACATATATGTTTTCACGTCCCGTGGCGTGATTTTAACCGAGGCATATTTTTTATATAGTATTTAGTCATATTGTCATCAACTATCCAGTTTTAGATATTTCACATTTTCCATTTGGAGGGGCTCATATAATCTTTGTACGTTAGCTCATCACTTAATTACTTCTTATCTATCTTTATATTTACTTATATTATACAGCTTTGATTGCACCATATTATTTTGCCTATTTCACTTAGGAGAGTCCACATTGCTTTTAGAGGTTTCACACTAATGTTCTTTAGGCCTCAATGTATGGATATATAGAAATCTTTCTATTTCACGATACAGTTTACCTGATCATATCTGTTACCATAGACGTTCAATCTCAATCCGTTCCATAGACATTCAATTTCAATCTGTTACCATAGACATTCAATTTTAATCCGTTACCATGGACGTTCCAATCTCAATCCGTTCCATTAGACATTCAATTTTAATTCGTTGCCATAGACATTCAATTTTTTTTCTTCCTCAAGCTTCAACCCCGCGGAAATATGCTCCGTCCAAATATTCGTACGTCTACGATAATTGAACACAGTTTGTTTTATATTAGCGCTAATGGCTGCGTTTAGTGGAAAAAGTTTCTCAGTGAGTGCTTAATGATTCTTTATTAGGATTGTTTTCTACAGAAGAATCAATCATATTAAAGAATCACTGAGCGTTTTTTAATTAAGCTTCTTTTTCCGCTGAACGCAGCCAATTTGATTACAGATGTCGATAAACTGGAATTATAATCCCGCATTGTAAATCTAGGCTTGAGCTATAAAAATTGATGTTAACATTAGTTAAGCTATCTTTATTTGTATAATGTTATAGTTTATACAAACAGTCAATAAAACATCGCGTATAATGTCGACAAAAACGAATAAAACAAAAACCGAGTCTGGCATTTATAGTTAGACCAAGTAATGATGTTACACTTACAGTTATGTAAAATTTCTAATATAATGAAAACTATAATAATTGTGATTATTCAGCATGGTGATATAGGTTATTAATAACACTGCAACAAAAAATTACTTTTTTTTTAGCACAAGAACTAACCTTGCGGCATTCGATAGTTTTTTGAACGCAGAAAACGATCCCGTTGCCAAATTGCTCTATCACGTCACAATTTTGAGATATTTGCAGTTAAAGTTGCAAAAATGGGCTATTTTAGTGTATTTTGATATATCATAACTACGATATGTGACGTATCAGAGAAGTTTAATCGCAATCAAAATTAAGTATGATGTTAGGACTTTCAACCCTTAAAAACTATCGAATGCTGCAATAAGGTTTGTTCTTGTGCTTTTTTTTGTTGTACAGTGTAATTATACCTATATTAAAACATAATAGATGTAATTTATTTGCCATAGGCGGGAGTTAACTTATATATTTTATACTTTTTTCATTTTTCTTTGCATCATGTAAGAACTGATACATTCATGTAAGTGACTCGACTCAGTCTTTAATTTATTCCTCTTCGATTGCAATTGCATAATAGTTATTTGCGCAAGGCCAAATCGCCGCCAAAAATTCATCAGATCTTGAAAATTTTCTGTAATCTATAGGTGTGTTCTTTTAAAAAAGTTAACAACTCTATATATTAGATGTGCGTGTATACCTGGCAAGACACATTCCAGTCTGACAAAGAAAAAATTTGATACGACGAGAGAGTCTGCGAGTTTTCTGACTCCATATGACCAGCAAACGGGATTACTTTCTCATCTTGTGTTTCGTACTTGCGACAGATTTGCATAAGTGTGAGTAGTTGTTTGCCTTTAACTACAAGACGCTCCAAATGTTTTATCGTCTTGTTATATTCGATCGATAATATTTTCAATTGATTCTTGTTTTTCGTCTGCTCTGAAATCGTTTTATATGTCTCAATATGGGATTGCTAAAAATTGTTTATCAATAATTATAGTAATATTACGATTTAATAGTGAATAGAATATAAAATAAGATGTAACAGTAGTATATCATTGTTGTGTAACAATTTGTTTTCACGCATTTAAAAATTACGAGGTATAAACTAAATTTTTAAAAATTTAAAAATTGTCAATGAAGATTAAACCCATCAAGGGTTTAAATAACGCGTCTGATATACGCACCTGAAAGGAGGCGATTTTTTGCAGTCCAGGAAGCTCTCTGGAAGAAGTCATGTTCCGTCAGAATTTCAGAGATTTCTTTCTTGGCTGTGGCATCGTACGTCATTATTTTACCTCGAAACTTGCGTATTTCTTCGAAAAGGCTCGCTGTACGTAACAATTGTTGCGTTATTATTTGTTGGTCTTTCTTGTCCTTGTCTTTGAGTGCCTCGTAACATTTTCTGTTATTTTTCGTTTCTAGAATGTCATATTGATCAAATATTAGCTTGTCTAATAGATATGACCTTAGCATAAAAATAATTTGCATTTAATAAACGTGCAGTTGCGATATTTGCATTTTTGAATCCCATTTTAAAAATGTTATAAAATATTGCTTGATTATAATTATGAAATTACCTAACAGGCAATTATATATTGTATTTAAATTGGTTTTTCTATAAAATATTTTATAATTATATATTATATATATATTATTATTATATATATATATATTATTATATATATATATAATAATATGGTTTCCGGCAAT